TATAGGAGGCTCTGTCCGGCCGTTTCCATTTGGGGTGGTCCCAGGTGGAATTTTTTGATGAATTTTTTTGCGCATCTTCTTCATCAAGTGTAGTTTACTCATATCAAGTTTCAGCTAAAAATTCAATAGGGAAGGCAGCCAAATAAATTTTTGAAAATAACTGCGCAGTTAAACAGCGTAGTACATTTCAGAAAATCATTTGACTGTCTCCCCGATTGAATTTTTATCTGAAATTTGGGTATGAGTAAACTAGACTTAATGAAGAAGATGTTAAAAACATTTCATCAAAAAATTCCACCGGGAACCGCCCCAAATGGCGACGGTCGGACAGAGTTTCCTATAAAAGGAGTGATTTGACCTTTTTAAGTTAGTTCGAGATCCTATTTGACCCTTTTCCCAACATTTAATTTATCCTTTTTCTTTGATTCACTCTTTAAGGTAATAGTTTAGTGATATATAACTTTGCTTTTTAACTCATGCATAATTAGTTTTAAGAGAAATCTCAACTAGATGTGTTGGATTTTTAGTTTAGATCTAGATGGTGCTGTGAAACAAATTTTAAGTATTTACTTAAAATTGATCGCAAATAATAATATATGAGAATATTGGGTACAATCTCTAAATATGAATCCTCTAATTCTTCACTTGCAATTTGATATGAATATAATTAAAGAATTTAATTTAAAATTAAATCTCTAACTCTTCAAATATTCGAACGTTCTTCGGGTCTTCGAATCTTCGTTCTTGAGATCTTCGAATCTTCGAACCTTCATTCTTCGGATCTTCAAATCTTCTTGAATAAAGAATTCAGCTTGAAGGGCCTCCGGTTTTCAAGTGGCTTGATCTTCAACAAAAGGGCCGTTTTATGGCTTAATCTTATGTTTAAGGGCCTCCCGGGATATATGGCTTGATCTTCAATTGAATTTTGATTCAATCTTCATATGAACATCTTCAAATCTTCAAAGATTCGTTCTTCATATCTTCGAATCTTCAAAGCTTCGTTCTTCAGATCTTCGAATCTTCAAGCTTTGTTCTTCAGATCTTCGAACGTTCTTCAACTTTTGGCTTTGTTTGATCAAGAATAGATGAAAATCACAAAGGATTAATCATATATTCTTGACAAAAACGTGGCTTGTTATCTTCCGATGTTTCGGAATCCTTCAGAGCCTTTCGGGAGTTCTTCAGAGCTTTTCTGCAGCGTTTCTTCGACTGGAAGTTCTCCTCCCTTTCTCTCAACTGAGACCCCTATTTATAGGTGTGGAGGGGGTGAAAAATGATTTAGGGTTTCATGAAATTCGTCCATATGCCTAGGGCCTCAATTAAAATGGGCTTCGGGCTCTGTTTGCTCGCATTTAATAGCTAGAAAAATCAGCACTTGTTTGATGTATCTGGACAGCCTTTTAAACAAGATTCGTAGCTATTTCTCATGAATTTGGACATATTTCTTAACCAGATTCATTGCTTTCTTTAATTGGATCATGCCTCTTATGTACTGAGCCACTATTTGATAATGGGCTCAAAACTAATAGGACCGATCCATTCTTCTAAAGATTTAATTTATAATTAAATTAATTGGATATTTCGAATGATCCAAATTAATTAAATTAATAAATTTTATCCCAAGAAATCCATATCACTATTTTCTTCTTGATAAGGCCCACCAACCATCACGAGCAGCCCACTAAAATCGACATGGGCTAGATATCATTCAAAGGAGGCCCACTAAACATCTCAACTGGTCCAATAATTTTTATATGTCCACAGGTGCATGTTGAAGAACTTCAGGTATAGAATGAAACATAGAATTTGAGTGGGTATGCCGGTATGGAGGAACGGTTTTATGAAACAAGAGGCAGTATTACCTTCTGTCATATTGTAATTTTCATTGCATGAACATGCTGAACCCATTTTGAAAAGGGAAAAGGACCTCGGAGGGTTATGCGTGCTCAGTAGCTGATAGCGGATTATGGCGGAAAAACCGATGTATAAAATGTAATGGATAGCATTGTGGTAAATAGAGGAAGCATAGCAGATTGGGTAAAAATTACATACTTCGTATAATCGTATATAGTAATTACATTTATATATCATAATATATGTAAGGAGTAAAGTACGTAGTCATAAAAAAAGATTGTACTAACATTGGAACAGTTAAAAACTTACTAGTATACTTCGAATCATAGCACAAAACTAGTATAGACCACTAAAATTCAAAGTTCTCTAAAATGGAAATCTTAATAAATTGGATAATATTCCCACCCACTATCATTTTTGTTTTTGGCATTTGAACACGATTGTCACAGTGATGATATTCGGTACAGTAAGGGGGTGTATTCAATATGGATTGTGGTGAACTTTTTTTTAATCCATGGACTTCTAAAAAAGTCTATGGACTTCTAAAAAAGTCTATGGACTTTTAAATTCATGGGAAAATGGAAACTAATAATCCAACCTTTTAGCGGTCTTCTTACAATAGTCCCACCTTTTCGTTATTCATGAATAATCCAACCTTTGCACCTCATCTTCATTCACTGGTCCCTGACCGGTTGATGACCTGCTATTCCAGGTTATTTTCTTATCTTTTCAAACCATTATACCATATATCTCACCTTTCACAGCGATAATATTTTGCAAAGATAAGAAAATAACTTGAAATAGCAGGTCATTAACCGGTCAGGGACCAGCGAATGAAGATGAGGTGCAAAGGTTGGATTATTCTTGAATAATGAAAAGGTTGGACTATTGTAAGAAGATTGCTAAAAGGTTGGATTATTAGTTTCCATTTTCCCTAAATTCATAGACTTTTAATCCGCTGACTTTTAAATCTGTAGACTTTTAAATCCGTGGACTTTTAAAATAAATGACTTTTAAACGAGTGACTTCTATGGATTTCAATAAATCCATAGACTTTTACTTGGACTTATTTCATACCAGATCTAACTAGATCAGACTTTAACAAAGCAAATCAGACTTTAATAAATAAGAATCGCTACATAGAAAATATGACAAATAATGTCAAATATAATAGCTAATGTTCTCTATTCCGAATGAGGTCAAGCATAAGCATTAAAAAATTATAAGAAAAAAAATAAAGTCATCAATGCACAAAATGGGAACAAACGTCTTGTGCTACTCAACTATGGATCAAAATTATTCATTTTCAGCAGCTTCCCACATTTGAGTAGCAAGATTCATCCTCCATTCATTGGCCTTTTCCCTTTGTTGATCTTGTGTCTGAAAGTTATCCCATTCAAGATTGTCCTCATCATCGCTAGGTGGGTCTTCTTCTGGGTCCGGAGGAAATTCGTCGGATCGACATTCACGTCGAAGAAAATTATGTACTCCTGCACATGCCAAAACTAATTCTGCTTGTGTTTTATAAGAGAAAGGAGGTGTTGTTTTGAAGATTGTGAAGCGTGACTTGAATATTCCAAATATCCGTTCAATCACATTCCTCAAAGAAGCATGACGAAGATTGAATAGTTCAACCGCATTAACAGGGTGATTTCCTTCACCACCAAAATCCTTTAGATGATACCGAGTACCTCGAAATGGAGCTAAAAATTGACACCGATTTGCAAATCCACAATCCCCCAAATAATATTTTCCTAGACATTGAATCATTACACAATTAGTCTATTATACAATGCAATAAGTAATTGGTAACAGAGATTTGGATAAACATGTTAAAGTGTACCTGGTGGCACTTTAAGACCATTTGGTCTTGAAATTGCATCATTTAACACTTTTGAATCATGGGCAGAACCCTCCCAACCACTAAGCACATATATGAATTGCAAATCAAAGTTGCAAGCAGCTAGTACATTTTGAGATATAGTCCCATGACGATTTCGATAGCTGTTCACTTCTCGTCCAGGTACGATTGCTGGAATATGAGTGCCATCTATTGCTCCGATGCAATCCTAGCATTAGGAAAAGAAGAAATACCAAAAAAAATAATTAATCGATCATCATTAATCATGTAAAATTGGTGAAGTGCATTAGGAAAAAAAATACCAAAAAAAATTAATTAATCATCCTTAATCATCAATAAAGTTTTGCATTACTGACCTTGAAATGAGGATAAAACCTTGTACTCTATTTAATCCCATTAGCCGTCACAGGTCGACGAGTCAATGGGCATGGAATAGGTTCATCATTAATTCTTGAAGCGAGATTGTATATCAAGTAAGTTACTGCTTCTATTGCCATTAGCAATATCTTAAGAGTCCCATAAAACTCAACCTCATCTTCATCTGCTCCATACACATCTGTTTCACACATTGCTAAAAGAAGAAAAAAGGCATAAACTTTAAAAAGTGAACTATGATGTATTTTATAATAAAAGCATTCTAACGGATAATACATAAAATAGTTCAAATAATCCATATCACTTTGCAATCCAAATAAATTAAATCACTCCAACAAAAGATAAAGTAAATACGCAACCATGGCCTATTTATTATTAGATATCTCTAGAGGACGAATCTAATGAAGCTGTTTAACGATTGACGATCCAGTGATAGCGTTGTTCGGGGGTCATTCTTAAAAAGAAATCTTGCTTCGCTTTCGTATTCAGCAAATCAAGAGCTTTAAAGCAATCCTCGTCTGTTAATCCAGGGGTCTCTTTCATAGCATCCAAAACATCATTGTCCCTTGCTTCTCTCTTCTCCATTAAATAACAAATTTTATCAAAACTCTTAACAATTTTATTAAACCCTGTTGACAAGCTCTCAATAACCTCTCCGTGACTATTAGGTTCCTTTGTTCTTCCATTGTTCTCAAAATCATTTCTACCTCTTTTTCCTTTAGCTCTATTGCTTGATGAAGGTGGATCCTCTATATTTCTACCACCATCTTGGGGAAGATATGATGAGTCCTCCTGGTGGGATGATGCATTTTCACTCGGTGTGAACGTGTTAGTATTTGGATCAAAAAATAACCCATCAATGCCACCAATTCCACTCGATTCATCATCTACTCCTAACACTGCAGCATCCGTATTTTCACCAAGACCAATTGCACCCATCCCAGTTGCAGTTCCATTTCCCACTGCGATTCTCAGATCCTCATAGTCCGGACAAGTTTCTGATCGAAGGTGTGCATGTTCTTTATGTGACTGATATATAAAAAATATAAAATTTGTTACTATGATGTTAAAAAATAGATACACAAATGAATAAAAAAAATGCCCACCTTCAGGTAGTCAGCCCATACTTCTTCGGAAGCAGTGAATTTCTTTGTGGATGCATCCCATCCGAATCCAGAGTTGTGCCGCATAAGTTGAGAGTAATTGGAGTATTGTTTTTTAAACCATTTGAGTCTACTTTGGTAATGATTAAAACTAATTTCATAACCAAGCTTTTCCTTAAGTTTAGGAAGGAGTCTGGTCTCTACCATTTGTTTACTTATCACACCATTTATATCACGAAGGCCAAGTTTGGCACTTTCAACCATTAGCTGAAGCAAGACATTACTCTCTTCTATGGTCCAAGTTTTATAATCCTTTTTTTTCCATTACCTTGTGAATCACCCATCTACAAGACATGTAAAACCAATCACACAAACAATAAAGACAAACTCATACCGTTTGACTTTAGTAATTAGTGGTGTTAGTTAACACATCTTTAAATAAAATCCAATCAGTCCTCTTTATATATATAAAATCTCAAACGCCATGATTTTAAAGTAAAAACGAAAACAAAAAAATATATATTGAAAATCGGATGGACTATAATGGGCAGGAATAGAAAAAACATTTTTATATACTCTACGGAATGTCCTTAGCCGAGTTGTGATTGCTTAGGTTGTCCACCAAATAGAGCAGCAACAGTAGTACTCTGTTCATAATCCTTTCTCAAAACAATAATAGGAGTGATCGAATTACTGCTGGATCGTACGTATACTTTGTAAATAAAAAGGGGTACAAAAAGCAGATAGAAACCCAAATAACAACAAAACTATAATAGTCATACTAATAATAAAAAAGGTAAACAAAAAAGCCCAACTGCCATTCCCTGCTTATGAACATACTACGCATTTTAGGCTTGTCTGTCGGCTCCCTGCTTTTATTTTTTTTAATTGAAAAAAACATACACAAGAGACCATATCCGAATGGTGGAGGTTGATTTACAGTGCACTAAACATTCAGACCTTGTTCTAAATTACTCCTACCAACACCAATCACATAACTCCATAGCTTAGGAAGAAGTTGATGATATCATCAAAGTTAAATTGAAGTACGTGATGAGCCACTTTTGCAATCTGGTATAGTCTTTTGGAAAAAGATATATAGTGGAGAGGTAAACATTACAAGTTCGATCTTGTTATTTATATAAATATACATATGTATACATATACATATAAATACATAGCACACATAGGAATAATGATAGGAATACATGTAAACATTATAAGTTCGATCTTGTTAACGCCTTATGTCTTCTGCAAACTACTGCGGAAAAGCATTCTATGAAGAAAAGTTTGCGTGAAGCTCAAACACTAGGGGCCTGTTTACTAACAGAAATATTTTCCAGTTTTCCAGAAAACTGGAAAACTGGAAAACAGAAAACAGGAAACGTGTTTACCAAAGAAATTCCTGGAAAACTGGAGAAAGGAAAAAAGAAAAACACGTTTACCAAATCGTTTTCCAAAACAAAAAAAATGAAACATGTCTCTCTTTTCCTTAATGATTTGGAGAAGTGACTTTTACTAGTTTTCCAAATTTGGAAAACGCAGATGCTACAATGCTTTTGCAATGAATTTGCATACTTTACACCTAGTGGTGGGTCCGGTCCCGCTCCGATGTCGATTCCATTCCGGTACCTCCATCCTCGTACCTTACCCCTTACCCCTACCCTACCCTACCCACTCAACCCCCACCCCGCGTACCCATTTTTCCCTATAATGACCTTACCCCCACCCCCCACCACATGCACCGACCTCGGCCCCACCCCGATCCACCCTACCCTACCGCCAGCCCCTACCACCTCGACCCCACCTCGATCCACCCTACTCTACCGCCACCTCCTACCACCTCGACCCCACCCCCCACCCCTCGTATATTACCACTTACCCCTACCTTACCCCTTACCACAGGCCTCCTACCTCGACCCCACCCCACCGCCATCCTACCCCCCACCCTCGTACTACCCTACCTCGGCCCCACCCGGATCCCGGGCCCACTCTACTGCTATCCTCTCCCAACTCCCTACCTTACCCCAACCCCAAACCCTACCCACTACCCCCCACCCTTACCGCCATCCTACCCCCACCGCCATCCTACCCCCCACCCTACCCCTTCCCTACCCCGGCCCCACCCTGGTCCCGACCCCACCATACCGCCATCCAATCCCAACTCCTTACCCTACCCCCTACCTTACCCCAACCCCAAACCCTACCCACTACCCCCACCCTTACCACCATCCTACCCCCCACCCCCATCCTACCCCTTCCCTACCCCGGCCCCACCCTGGTCCCGACCCCACCCTACCGCCATCCTATCCCACCTCCCTACCCTACCCCTACCTTACCCCAACCCTACCCACTACCCCACCCTAAACCCTAACCACGACCCTAACCCACCCACTATCCCCACCCAACCCCTACCCCTAGACCTTACCACCCCACCCCGACCATACCCCTTACCCCACCCCCACCCATAACTTCCCTACCCCGACCCCTACAAGTAGGTATGGGTGTGTATGAAGGGTTGTGGTGGAGTATGGGTAGAGTGTAAGATCGTGGTAAGGGTAGTGGTAGGGGTCAAGGGTGTGGAATTGGAGAACTGTGTGAAAAAATTGATGAACATGTTTTCAAATTTGAAAATGGAAAACTACAAAATAGAAACAGAAAATTGGAGATAGAAACACTGAAAAATAAAAACAGAAAATTGGAGAATGAAAAACAGAAGTAGAAAACAGGAAAATATCTCTGTTAGTAAACAGGCCCTAGGTTTTTCCCCACTCATTCAACTAAAATTCGAGTTTAAAAGCACAATTCAATGAAGAAGATATCCAAGAGCAGATGCGTACATACCTGGGACAGAAGAGGCGAGTTGGGCGAGACGTACAAGAGCAGAGGCGTGAAAACCCTACGGGGGAGAAAGTCTGCGTAAAATAATTGGGTGGAGCACGAGACAATTCAATCGAATGGTTATGTATACGAGTTGTTCTAAAGTCCATGAGAATCCACTATTTTTAAAATCCAGAAGATTTGTTAATTTTTTGAATACACCCATACTTTTATTGACTTTTAAAAGTCCTAATTGAATACACCTAAACTTTGATAGACTTTTAAAAGTCTATATTCAATACACCTAGATTTTTAAAGTCCATGGACTTCTAATATTTTGCCACTAAATCCAAATACAATACACCCCCCTAAATGCCAATTGCTGAAACTTTTTATTAAAAAATTGAGTGGTACTAATAAAAATGGTGATGGAGTATAGGATCTAAATTTAAAAAGAAGAGAGCACTACATTGACAGGCAGTAGTTCAGTATAGAGCTACTAGTCTGCCCAGTGCTGAACATATTAAAACACTAAAAAATCTGCAGCCAAAACAATAAAATACGTTAACAAATGCTAAACAAATTTCAAGAGAAAAGAATGAAAAAAAGAGTGGAGTAGGAGACAAAAGTTCAAAATAACATTGAAAGAACACATCGAATTGTCATTGTTCTCCTCCTGATAATACTTTGAACAAGATCTTAATGTATTTGTGTAATTCTTGTTGGTTGTGTTTCCAAAAAGAAAGAAAATTAACTAATAAAATTAATTAATTAAATAAAATGACTTAAAGGAAAACCAAGAAATGAGATGAAGCAGAATAAGCCAAAGCTCGTACTACGCACGATTTCCTTAAAACGTATTCGTTGTCTCCCGGGGTGCTAGGAGCGTTGCAAGAATCGTTTCCCAGGATACGATGACTACGAACAAGCGTTTGAGCACTCAAACGAAAGTTCCAACGAACGTGAACAAAGCAATGAACACCGAGGGATGTTTTCAGAAGCTAGAGGTGTTTTTCAGAGTGTATAAACGTGCATGCAGTGTATGAAGTTGTTCTTTTTGCAATTTATAGGGGTGGATTGCATGGGTTAAAAACGTTTGGACAGCCATGAACGTTGGAACCATTAATGTCAAAACATTCGTGGGCAGTTAAATCCATATATGTGGGCAGTTAATGGAGCAAAACATAGGAACATTACGGAAGAACAAAAATTAACGTTATCTTTAGAAGATAGGATTTTCGGACGGCATTCGTGTGTGCAGGTCGCCCGCACACGCAAGTCGCGCTTTTTGTTCTTCGGTTTCGGGATCTGATTCGCACCCCCCTTGCGCGCGTGAGAGAGCCTTTCACCTTAGGAATCTTAACTCCTTAGGGGGGTTTCCCTTTATAAAGGGTCCAAAATCCCTTGTGATTTTCGGTGTGGGAAAAACCCATACCAAAAACTCACTTTTTCCTAGTTTTCTCCATTCCAACGGGTAAACTTCGAAAAGCGATTTCTCATTCACCCGTTATCCGTTTTGAGCGTACCATATATCGAATTGTATCCCTAAGCAAGGACTATCCGAAACCACTTTGACCCGACCCAAATCGGAAGTGGACCCCGCTCAAAAAATTGCCCCAAAATGACCATTTAATGCAATTTAACACACTTTTTTCCAACAATTCTGATCTAATTGTTTATTAAACAATACTTTAGTGTTATGGAGTTGGTGTTATGCATCTGTGTGCTATTCTTTTTCTTTACTCTATCTTACTTGTGTACCACTACTGTGATAATCTCATTCTCCCCTTCAATCTGAAATCGAAATTGGTCTTTGAATCTAAAAAACATGATAGTGTTCATAGCATTCTCCTAGTTCCAAACAGATCCACTATGATATAAACAGAAGTGAATTACTGAAAACTCAGTAATTCATAATTGTACAGCCAAACATAACTAAACAAATACTAAATATAAAGAGAACTAAATTACTGAAAACTCAATTGTATATATAAAAGATAAAAACAAAATTGTATTATAGATAAAAAAAAAAATTATAGATAATCTATCTCCATTGCAATGAGTCAATTATGTATCTATAAATGTATAAATCACACATGTTGGTGCATCTGTTGATCTCTATAATAAACAGAACACTAATCAACATATAATTTACAAAGAAGACTTCTATCTAATAACTTACAAGGAAGACTTCCATCTAATAAATTACAAGGCTAATCAGCCTATCCTCGTGTTAATTTTATTCCTAAGCTGCAACTGTTACATTACTATATGTCTCGCTCACTTGATACATCTCAAGTTCGTGATTAACATTAATGGGACTATATCTGCATTATGCGTGGCTTGACCACTTTAGTAGGTGATACAAAATGAGCTTAGGCTTTGCTGAAAACACATCAATTTAAATAGCTAAGGCTAGAACTATTATATTCCAAATTGGTTAAGTCGTTGGTGATTTAAGTTCCGTTGACCTTCATTTTCTAGTAAAATTAAGGGCATAATAATTGTTAACTTTAACCTAC